GACCTTAGATGGACAAACTCAGCACTCTCTCTGGGCAAGAAGGATATAGAATAAACAGTGATTTAAATTCCTTTCACTCATTCAACAAACATTTACTAAGTATCTACAGTACGTCAGGAGACATGCCTCAAGATGAATGTGATAGTTTTCACTCTCAAAGAATATATATGTAGGGCAAACTCTTAAAGACTGATTTTTTTTTTTTAGTAAATATGATGGTATTTTACTGTTAAAAATTCTAATCTAATCATACTGGTCTTTGCTTTAAAAAGAATTATCATTTAAGTTCTTCTGCACTTTTATTTATGACTTAGAACTGAGGAAGACAGATTTGAAACAGATTTTATTTTTCTTTTTGTCCTGGGCCGTACTTTCCAATTTTTTAATTCCTTTTCTCCTTCCGTGTGTGTGTGTATGTGTGTGTGTGTGTGTGTGTATGTGTGTGTGAGAGAGAGAGAGAGAAAGAGAATTTGTAGTTCATTGAAAGAAAAAGAGAACTTTAAGATGCTCTAATACCTGGGGTGACACTGAAATAAAGAGTATGTTTTCACATTATGAAGTCTCACTGTGAGAATGGGGCAAGATTAATTTATGCCAGTTCTTGTATATTCTTTACTCCATGGTATTTAAGAGCTGGCTCCAAGTCCCTGAGAAGAAAGGACAAAAATAAGAGAAACCAATAAGATTCCTTTTCTCTCCATAGTTCCCAGCACTAGGAAGACCAGGGGAACCCCAGGTTTCACCAGACACTCCCAAGTCTTGCCTCTCACTCCACATCTTTTTGCATGCTAATTGAGCCATTTCAGTGAGCCTGGGAGAGTTCTATGATGCGTGATAGTCAAGGCTTACCTTAGAGGACCACAGTGGGTGGGGATCTATAGTTTAGGGAGAAAGATTAGTGTCCTCTAGAAACCCAGGTTCAGTTGTACCAGGGATGGAGCACGTGCTCCACCTGTCAATTTTCCAATAGAGAATTATCTAAGCAGAGCAGCCTATGGCAGTGATTATACATCTGCTAATTGGGTTAAGAGACAGTGACCCTTGGATCAGTCTACCATATAGTTTCCAAAGGAGACAAAGACTGTCAAGTTAGCTGAAGGCTGTGCAAATACATGCCTGATCCTGTAATATTAGGATTCATGTGCAGGAATTACAGAGGGATGAGAGGAAGAAGGCCTAATTGTGTTTTGGAACAAAAAGTAAAAATATAATATCTACTTTCCTTTTAAGTGGTTTTTATAAATGCTCAGATATCTAAATGCTCAGATATCTAAACGCTCAGATATCTAAACTTTATAAATTTAGAGGGTTCTAAATTGTTTAATTCCATCCAAATGAAGACTAAATATTCAACATACATTTATATTGTTTCTATTAATTTTTCTTTCTTTGCTTATGGCCTACACACTAGAAATTTTCCTTAAGGAAGACAAGGAAGTGACAAATCATATTCTTTGAAGCTTATTGCTAAATTGAGGAATTGAGTTTTATTTTTGCTAAAAGGCATTAATGTTTGGTATGACCAGTCCAAGCAAGCTATAAGAAACCACCTCAGCCAACGGATTTAGAAATGCAATTGCTATTCTTTTCTAAATAATTCCAAATTCTCTTCTTCTGTCTATTACCTAGAACCAGCACAGTACCTGGCAAATGTGCTCAACATAGTATTTAAGGACTGATGGACCTAACCAATGACTGGTGCCATGGGAAGGCAGCTCTCCCTTCTGAAGGAGTTGGTTGATCTAGTTCGCAAATCCTCAGGCTGGATTGCATTCCCCACCCCTACCCCCATCCCCTCACCTGAATGCCCAGAAATCATCTCTTTCTCACAAACAGGAAGCCTTTATCTCACCATGAAGACTTTGCAGCAAAGACTAGTAAAGGGAAAAGAAGAAATGGGAGACAGTATCCCATTTGAGCCACGTATTCTCTGTAGAAAATCGGAGTCCTCTCCAATGAGTGGTATCTTGAAAGAACTGTCTCTGTTAGTCAATCAACAGATATTTATCGAACCCCTACATCGTGCCAGGATCTACACAGTGCCCATAGGAGTACTCCTTCCAGGGAATCTCCGGATATAGTGGGAGAAGCGAGGGCTTTGGAATTCCATCTTGAGCTAGTAAAAGTTTCAGTGTGAAAGTATTTTATGGTATCAATTTACTTTATGATCCAAAGGAAGAGAAGAAGGTAAATCAGCAGTATAAAATGACTTTCCATAGAATTTAGACATAGCAGAAGGGTTGCTAGAAAGAACTAGGCTAACCACATTATTTCCTACCAGGGCACCATAGGGGATCCCTGTTTTAATGAATAAATAAAAATGATGTGTAATTATCATATCAATTGCTTGCATCTAAGTGAGTGCTTCTGGAGTTCTTTGATGGTGCTTAAAAATCTTTGGTCTCTGAAGTGCATTTAACGTCTCCTTGACTCTTATCTATATTATTAATTTGTGGATCAAAGTTAACTTGGTGCTATGCAAATGAGGAGACTTCAAATGAATGAGATTTTACTGTAAAATTTTAAATTCATATTACTTGTAACAGAACTGCAATATATTTTGGAGACATGTGTTAACATATGTAAAAGAGATATTACATCTTAAAGCAGTGCTATCCAATAGAACTTTCTGGAATGATGGAATATTCTATATCTGCACTGTCCAAACAAGGCAGCCACTGGCCACATGTGGCTATTGAACACTTAAAATGTGGCTAATGCAACTGAGGAACTAAATTTTAAATTTTATTTAATTAAAATTAAAATGTAAACACCATATATGGTTAGTGACTACCTTATTTGACAGTGTAGGTGTAAAGAAAAAGTGAAATTAAATTCCAAGAACCTGAATTCCAGCCCTACCCTTACTACATTGGACAATTTACTTAACCTCTGTGAGCTTCAATTTTCTCACTTGAAGATGAGAATATAAGTAATACCTACCTCACAAAATTTGAGGTAAGAAGAATTGAGATAATATTTAGGCATTCTTCTATTTCCAAATAAGTGCCAATCAAGTACCAAAGTTAGATATATGGAAAAGGAATAACCAACTCTCTCGTTTCAAGGGAGTTTCCGTTCCTAGAGGGCTCAAAAATATTATTAAATTCATAATTATCCTCACTGTTCAGATACAATATTTAATGACAATGCTTGTAACTATCTACTGGTAAGCAGCACCATTAGCAATAGGCAGAAATGGTCATGTGTCAGCTTGGGAGTATCAATGTATGGTGCACAAAAAGGCTGGCAGGCAGAAAGTTAAATTTACAGAAATTGAGGTCAGCTTGTGTATGAAAAGTACACTGAGAACTGAAAAGCATGATTAAAATGTTAATGCAATCACTGCTTTAATATTGTTACAATTAATAATGTAATTCATCTGGATTGCCCAAGAAGGTTAAATAAACCCATTCCATTTCACTGGCAGAAACTGAGGTATAAATTAGCAGAATAGGTTAGTGGCTTAGGAGTTTGAGCCCTTTCATTGAATGTGATAACCTGAAATAAGGGATGTAAAGTATTTAGCACAGGGCATGCCACCTACTAAGGACTAAAAAGGTCAGCCATTATTAAGACAATAAGTGACACTATTGGGAGCTCCATGAGATTGAGGCCTTTGGCTATTTTTCAGTTAACAAAAGGTATGGGAGTACAGAGTGATATTTGCACAGATTTAATTCTACACGACTGAAACATAGAAAGATCATCTCAATTTTCCATATCTGCATCAGTCAAGAACCGATCTAGGGGCCGGCCCCATGGCACAGAGGTTAAGTTTGCACACTCTGCTTCAGCAGCCCGGGGTTCGCAGGTTCAGATCCCGGGCAAGGATTGACACACCGCTTATCAAGCCATGCTGTGGCAGGCATCCCACATAAAATAGAGGAAGATTTGCAACAGATGTTAACTCAAGGCCAGTCTTCCTCACCAAAAAAAAAAAAAAGAACTGATCTAGTTGTTTTGATACTACTTCAAATCTATTCTTGGAATGAGGCATGAATGACTAAAATGCCTCTTGATTCCCCCATTAACTCAATAAAATGAGCTGGTAAAACTCATGAGTCTTCAACGTACAAATATCTCCAAATCTGAGATAACATGGAGGTAAACAGAGAAGGGACCAATTGGGGGAAATAATCTACCAGTCAAAGTAGACCAAGTGCCCGGTGGACATGGACCCAGACTACTTTCTGAGGCATATGGTGCTTTACCCAGCCACCCACAGCTACCCTAAGAGGCATGAGAAGGTTTTGAAAGAGTGCTGGGACAGAAAAGAGCAGAGCAGGTGTCCCCAGGCCTGAGAAACCACTCTCAGGGGAGTGGTGTGAAACCAGCTTTACTGTGAAGTAGAGAAATTACATCATTGCTAGGAAGCTTCCCCTGGTCCTAATCTCTTCTTCACATCACCTGGAATCCTTCTTACTATTTTGTCTCACTGCCTAAAGTTTTTCCGTCTAGAACTCATTTGGTTTAACAAGGCTCCACTAAAATGCACATTCCCCAGGCACCTCCCCCCAAAATAAAAGACCAAACAATGCAGTCTTGCTTATATGATAGTTGCATTGCAAAGAATTCAGAAATGGGTGTTCTAGTCAGGATTTTGTGACTTTTCTACTAGGAGAATTTCTCATTTTACAGGATAATGAACATTTTGTTAAAACATTTCTCCACTGCTCTCAGGCTCCCACGACATCATTCTTTGCCGTGAACTACCTACATTTCCTCATAACAATTTGACTTTTGTTTTAGAAAGAGAATTTGTTCCTGTCATCAAACTCTATCCAGGGAGCTGGCATCCTCACTAAGGAGATAAAGAAATATTGGCCACAATTTTTCTTTTTTATCACCTTAAGAAGGAGAGGATGATATTTCCATTTTGAGTGTGACTCTATTAATTAGCCCAGCTCCATTACACTCGCAGATACATACGACTTTACTTTTTGAACCTACTTTGATATTCAAAGAGGCAAAAACCAATAAGAAAGCATGTACATTACCTTGCGCCAGAATTTGGGAGTGTAATTCTCCCTGGGGTCCTCTTCCATGGTGCATTGCTGGCAGCCCACCATATCTGCTCCTGATCTGTTTTCCCTCTTTTCTAGAGTCCTCTCTTCCCTTTGGAGTTCTTTTGAGTCACAGGGTGAAATTTTTCTTTCTCCAGACTTACTGGGCTGCTTGACCAAGGGTTAAGCTTAAAGATAGGCTCAGAGGAGCTAGTTGTGTCCCAGTGATTGAATAAGCGGAGATCCACGTTGCTGGGCGCTCTTGCTTTGTTTACCACAAGCCTCCTCTTGTCCCCTCTGGGCTGCTGTTCACTGACAATTGCTCTGCTCTGGACTGGTGCTATGATGGCCTGTTGCGCAGGGACAGGCAGGTTGTGGTGAAGGCCGCACTCGTGAAAAAGGCCATTGTTTAATCTACCCTGTCCCTTGCTGGAGCTATGGCAACAAATTCTGTTGGTGAATTAACTATGTCATTGTGTGCCGGCTCAAGTGATTATGCTCCTGGAATGACAAACATTTTCTCTCTTTTTTTCAAGATAAAAAGGCAGAAATAGAAGTACAATGATGTACACCTGAAATTTGTACAATGTCATAAACCAATGTTACTGCAATAAACAAAAAATTTAAAAAAAAAAGAATTTCTGTAAAAGATTAAAAAAAAAAAAAGTGGTCAAGACCTTCAAGTGTTAATATACAACTCAGCACTTTCTTTAAATAAGAAATAAAGATAGAGAAAATAAACCTCTCAAACATACTTTGATTCTAATAAACATTTTATCTCTTCCAAGGAGCTATTCTAAGCACCAGCTGATAATGAATTTGTGCATTTTAACAATGTAGAGTCTTCACAATTTGTGTTAAGGTAATTTCCCCTCAGATAACGCTGTGTGTGAAAAGAACTCTTTAAATATGCATGCGCTTAGGCCTTTCTGAGAAAAAGATTCTTTTTAAATCTGGCTGCAGCAAAGTGCTGTGGGAACTTTGGCTGCGGAGTGTTAACGTAACTATCACATCTCAGTTCAGAGTGAAGACTGTTGTGCCTCTAAATTCACCCTAGCCACGTAAAGATTTCCTATGTCCCATGCTTACCAGGAAAACTCTTAGTCACTTTCTCACATGTTATAATCTCCAGCATGGTGAATTTTGCTCTGATCAGTCAAAGGATCCTTTCAACGTTGCCGTCCATCCATCCATCCCACACTTGCTCTGTCCCAGTGCCAGGCCAGTTGCTGGGGCAGCTCTGTCAATGAATTTGCCACTAGTTTCCTAGCATGATAGTGTGTAGTGTGCTGACTTGGCGAGCTGGAATCACATTTCCAAGGAGCCCCTTCCCTTATGGGTCTGGGGTAGAGTTGGCCAAAAGAGGAATTTGCACAAAATTTGGAAGGCGCGAGTGAAGCAAGCAGTCATAACTTTCTAAAGGTTGTTGTGGTGGGGTGTGGTGACAAACAGATGCGGAGGTGATGGCAGGTCCCAGCTTGTCCTCACTCTCCCTCGCTCTATGTCCAGATCTTCTTCCCAACTGCTGACCCTGTTGACCAACAGCAGCCCGGGGCCCACCATCGGACGTTTGTGCAGCCCCACAGAAGCAGGAGCAGCTTCCCATAGCTTCCCCTGGGCTTCCTCCTCCACTTTGGCAGCTGGATGTGTTGGGCTTCCGACTGCCAGGTGGATGGCTTCTCCCATCCTCCAACTCCCCCCCTGGACGGCCACTTTCCCAGCCCCTCCCATGACGGGCCAGGTCTATTTCCTATAATAAATCCCTTCCTCCACAGATCATAGTGGTTCTGCTTCCTCAACCAAACTAGGACTGATATACTTATTTTTCCAAAGGATACGAAGACTGTTACGAGAGAATCCTCAGCATGGGAGGAGTTTAGAGGGCAATAGGGAGAAAACCCCATGGAACTTGCATCTAGAAGTGACTGAGGAACCCAAGGAAATAGATGTTATGTTTGTATCAGTCTTCTCCCCACAGTTCCTTATCGCCCTCACCCTGCAATGCTTCTTTTCCAAGTATTTTTGCAAATACCTTTTCCTTCTCTATTCCTATGGTTTCCCCTCCTCCTCATTCTTATTCCCCATGGATCATCCCCCCCAAAGAAGCTAGGATTGGCTATCAGAGGTAAGCCACACTCCAGGGGTGGGTTCCAGGTAGTAAACTAAAAGAAGAAAAGAGAAAACCAACCCAAGTCCTGGGCACATTATTTCTTCCAGAGTGATTCACCTGATCCATTGAAATGATGGTCCAATTCGACGCAGCACAGATCAACTTGAACGGAAGGTTTCTCTGAAACTAAACTGAAGCCTGCTTCAGCTGTCAGGAAGGTATCATCTACCTCTATTTGCACTGGTTTGCTCTTCTCAGTAATGGAAAAATCACTCTCATGTCATCAAGGCCCAATGGTTCACAGGAGAGGCTTGTTTTGAAATTGCCTCCTGTTGTCATTTCTTAGAATAACAGTGCATTTGATTATATTTCCAAGCTTCGTGTCTCACGTCCAAAATAAGAGTCACTGCCAATCTATTCCCTCAGTTAATCCCTGCTTAGAGTAGGTGATTATTTGTCATGAGCATGAGAAAGTTGAGAGGATAGGTTTTGATTAATTCTGACTGTAAACCGAATAGAACAGAGACAGGGCTACCAATACAACTACATACTGTATTCTTGTCACATACTTAGGTCCGTAAATTAAGCTGTTTACACTTGGATTATGAAGGTATCTATTATCTGAACATTTATTGTTGGCTTTCTGGGGTCTTCCCTACTTTTGAGACTCTCATGAACTAAAACGGTTTTGGGATCCCTATTAACAATTCCCAGTGGTCTCCAACAAGGGGGCACTCCAGAGCTCTGAGAGTTGTGTCAGTGGGTGGAGCCTAATTGCCCAGGCCCGCAGACTTGGAAATAGGTGGGCTGCAGCTCTCAGCTACCCTATATGGCACCTTGTGTGAATTAGAAAAAGGTGCCCCTCTCTGGGCCGAAGCAGCCCCACTTGGTGTGCAGAGGGAGGGCTGGATTTCAGCCCTATTCTCCCAGTCTACGGGGAACCTTTGCAGCTCCTGACCCTCAGAGAAAAGGGAGTTGTTGGGGAGGCAAACTGTGTCAGCCCCATCACAGGAGATACACACCTGTATTTGAAGGACAAGTATCCTTGTGGCCCAGGAGGTGTTCTACACCGGGAGGCATGGATGGTCAACCAGGCCTCAGCTCTAGAGCTGGTGAAACCACCCTCCTTCTGCACAAATTCTCCTATGGCATTCTGTTTGCCTTCCTAGTACCTCACTAGTGGGCAGGGGGTGCCCTGGATCATGGCCTTAGCTCCCATGTTTAAGAGGGCCCTGCTTTGGCTCTCGTCCTTTGAGGAGTCCATGGAGCTATGGGGACAGGATGCACACCTGGAGACCCTCACCCCTCTTCTAGAACATTCTGGAGTTCTCTGCCCAAATGTCATCAGCCTGCTTCCAGGGCCTGCGTGGCCTCTTCCTCAGGGCCACCTTCCTAGGGGTAACCTCACGGTAGAGTTGCATATCCCTGGGCACGGAGGGGTGGTTGAGCAGGGGCTTTTAGCAGGAAAATGTGAACAGAATCTGGCTAACTGGGCTGGCCCCACCCCATGGTGTGGCACAGAGGAGGGGCTGGGGCTCTGGCCCTCCTCGCCTGTATATGTACATA